GTTTAATTAGATATAAGTTCCTGATGATTACAAGTCTGATAATCGTTCCGCAACAACAATTTCTACAACATCCGGTCTTGTTTGAACCATATCATCATCCCCTGACGTGTTTCCTATATCTTGTGCTGTGTTGAGGTCTTCTATATCTGTATCGAGCATGTTGTAAACATCTCGTGGCTTTGTCTTGGTAGCAACATACCAATCAGTGTCAATAGGATCTTGAACATAAAATACTTGCGTTGCTTGTGACCCCAGTATGAATGAGTCATCCGGAGGTAAACGATGTTCACAATTAACTAAAGTGAACCCATACTCATCCTTCTTAGTACGAAACCCTTTGCTCTTGACATCAAACCAATCACATTCAAATAGCATAACCTTCCGACCATTGTGATAATCTAACTCAATGATATCTGTCACAACACCATAATAATCTACATCTCCATACCTTGGATTCCTATCGACGGTAGTAGCAAAACTACTAACTTCTGATGCTAAAAAAACACCACTATTTTGGGTTCGTGCATGTCGATCAGCAGAAGCAACCTTAAATCGATTTCCATTCATGATGTACGTGGTATAACGGTTTACCCACTGCATCGGTCCAGCAGCCAATGCACGTATATCGTCTTTAATAGCTACCTCATCATTCGCCCCTATATTATGTACCTGCATTGAATTAAAACATAGTTACAAAAATACACCATAATTGAGTCCTCCATTTAATATTGAAACTTAATACAAATATAAGGTACATTATCCCGACACCATTGAGGGAAACTATCTAAAGCTTCTCTTTCTGCATCATATATGGTAGTTCTTCTGCCACGAGTGGAAATTACATGTGACATATGTCTCCTACAAGACCAACACATAAATCAATTCAACATCCACGCTAGTCCATGAAACATGTACTAAGGTAATGTCATTGTTATAACTATACCTTAAGTATTCTGCCATTTGCGGACAATTTACAAGGACATAGCGATGAGCCATTTCAAACCTCGGACGTTCTAGTAAAACAGTTTCAACAGCACTTGCTGGTTTGCCTTGGCTACCAAATAAAGGAAGTCCTTGCCGTGCATCACCTTGCATCACATCATAGTTACGTCCAGGCCTATTGCGACGGGTAACAACAGAGTCCTCCATGTACATGGAGCAAAATGATACACACTCATCTAGATTAACAGCCACTGCAATACATCCTTCTGGTTGACTCTTGTTGCGCACATACGATTTTAGAAGATGTAGGTACCTGATTGTTGAACAAAAATCTTTAAGCAAAATGTAATGATGGAAAAAAAATACTAAAATTACAAAGTGAACTGAGGAGGTGTTTTACAAAACTAACACCTTTCAATGGGGTACATCCATCGGTATGGGACCGGGCCAGCAACAGCAGCTTCATCCGCAAGGTGAATTATCAAGTGTACCATAACGGTAAAGAATGATGGCGGAAATAACTTCTCCAGATGGCATAGAGTTAAGGCAATGCTTTTTGACAAGCCATTGAACAATTCTTCAGTTCCAGTTTTTGAACAAAGTTGGCGAAAAAATCTGCTCAACTCTAACAACACTATAATAACCGATTTCGGTAACACTTTTCGTATTGCAATAGGGAGGAAGACCTGCATCAGCATATGATAATCGTGGCTTTTCAATCCAATTAACTTCTTTTCTTGAATATTAACACAGTTGCTGATATTAGAAGAGTAGTTGTCTGGCACCCGAATTGATTCCAAAACCTGGCACAACATTCTTTTCTCCCCAGGTTTCATATTGTATTCCGCCGCTGGAAGCTTTGTACGGGCACCATCTGCCCGTGGGTGGAGATCATGCCTAATGCCTAACTCTACGAGATCAGCCCTTGCCCTAATACCATCTTTAGTTTTCCCTTCAATTTCCAAAAGAGTGCCAATAACATTTTCAGCTACATTTCTCTCTCTATATGCATGACATCCAAGTTATGCCGTAGTAGGAGATCCTTCCAATAAGGCAATTCAAAGAATATTGTCTTTTTTGTCCACTGACCACGTACGTGTCCATCATCATTCCACCCCCGCTTACGACCACTTACCCTTGCACCCTTGCCAAATCTGAAGGTCAATCCCGTCACTTCCAATAAACAATCCATGGCACTTCTTGGTTTAGGGGGGTTTCGAAATTCTTGAGATCCGTTAAAAGTTTTTTTTATGTCTCCAGTACCTGTGTGACATCGGGAGCCATCGTCTATGTCCCATGAATGCAAACTTTTTCCCATGCTTAAGCCATAAAGAATCGGTGTCATCACTGCAAGTCGGACAAGCTTTCTCACCACTAGTGCTCCACCCTGAGAGCATGGCATAAGCAGGAAAGTCATTGATAGTCCACAACAATGCAGCACGCATGGTGAAGGTTTCTTGATGGTGACTATCAAATGTTCGCAAACCTGTCATCCACAAATGTCGTAAGTCATCAATTAGCGGCTGCAGGAAAACATCAATTACATCACCGGGACTTTTTTTGCCTGGAATTAGGAGGGACATCATGATATAAGGTTGTTTCATGCACATCTAAGGCGGAAGATTATAAACTACAACTAAAACAGGCCATGTGCTGTGGGGTTTGCCATGCATACCAAACGGATTGAATCCGTCGCTTGCAAGCCCAAGACGGACATTGCGACACTCACTTGCAAAATCTGGATATGTATTATCCAAATGCTTCCAAGCCGGAGAATCAGCAGGGTGCCTCAAAACACCATCGTCAGTTCTAATCTCTGAATGCCATATCATTGACTCAGCTGTGTAACGAGACATGTACAACCTTTGTAGTCTAGGACCTATGGGAAAGTAGCGTAAAACCTTTTTTGGTACCTTCGTACATTGGATCGTTCCTGAATTTCCCTTCCTCTGCTTATATCTACTAGCACCACACTTTGCACAAACGATGGCATTTACATGCTCTTTCCAGAATAGCATGCAATTATTTCGACACGCATCTATGTTTTGGTAATCCAACCCTAAAGCCCGGATAATCTTCTTTGTATAGTACAAATTTGGAGGAAGAGTCTCGCACATAGGAAAATGCTCTCTTATTAGTGCCAACACTGAACCAAATGCAGCATCACTCATTCCATATAACAATTTTGATTGATATAATTTCACCACAAAATCCAACTTTTTCTTCCTACTACCTGGATATAATTCTCCATCTGCTTCTCGTAGAATGTTGTCGAATTGGCCATTATCAGTTGTTTCATCACACGCAGAAGAAGATTCAGCAACATGGTCTGACTCATCCATATGCACATGGTTACTGAAAACATCATGAAGCATCGCTGCCATGAAATTTTCGGGGCTTCTTTCATTAAGAGCTTCAGTAGTTGGACTTGATATGTTATCAGAAGTATGCACCTGTTCGCCATGTTCAACCCAAGGTATATCTATGTAATGGGGATCCATACCTTCGACATAGAGGTGTTCATCGACTTCAAATGGATCACGATAAAACATATTGCAACAACGCCGACAGGGGCACTTAATTTTTCCTTGAAGGGCAGCAACGTCTAAAGCGTTACTGATGAATGCACGCCTGCCAATCAAGTATTCATTGGTCGTCCTATTCAGATGCACCCATTCTTTGTTCATCTTTAGCTACAAGCACGTATGAAATTATAAAACATATGATTACACGATAAGATTAGTGAACTGAGACAATCAAATAAAAATGTTCCTAAACATCCAACCTAATATCCCAAAATTCACAAACCAACTAAAACTAGATGTGATCTACATTGAAGTAGCTTATTCACTAACGGTGTACACTACTTTGAATAGAATTTTGTTTCGTTTCAATGAACGCCATTTGAAGTCTGCTACTGAAATCCTACAACTTACGTTGCGAGAGACTTATGCTTGTTGTTTTATTCATATTATATCAGACCACAAAGAAAATTTCACCAAACAAATTGAGTACCAGCAAATCGCAGAAACAAAACGGTTCAATCTTTTTCCCATGTTGTTCGATTCCTTGTTGTTTTATTCATATTATGTATAAATTATGAAAGAAATATAGTAGGAATGGCAACTCAAAACTCCATGTTCCTCTGTTACAATCTCAAATTTCCTTATTAGACAGTTCTGTCAAAAAAATAAAAAAGCACATACTGGTGAGTAATATATAACTTTCATCATGCTGGCTCCATTACAGTTGATATATAATATTTGAAGGATGATAAGCCTGACGTTCATGGCTTACACTTATGCATTACACACCTCTTAATCTACAAGTCTGTTAGCTTGAAAACAGTTTTTATTGTGAACTTCCAATCAATAAGTAGCCTATGGGAAAGGTCACAGGCCTAAACATTGTCACTGAGGTTACCTCATGACCAAAAAAGAAAATTTCACTAAACAAATTGACTACCAGCATCTCTCCCATGTTTTTCGATTACTTCTTGTTTTATTCATGCTATATATCAGACCACAAAGAAAATTTCACCAAACAAATTGAGTACCAGCAAATCGTAGAAACAAAACAGTTCAATCTCTCTCCCATGTTTTTCGATTATCCAAGCGAGCCACCAAATAAGAACAGAAAAAAAAACATATATAAAATTCAAATACCTGAAGAAAGCCACAATAGATGTGCGATTTGGAGCAAAACAAGGAGTTGAGTAGGAACTAGGCACCGGCCGTTCAGAAATTACTGGGATAAAAGATAATTTTGTGTTTGTAGTTATGATTCCTCTGCCCAGATGGGCAAGGTTGGATTTTCCTTTGCCTAGATGTGCAGCTACATTTACAGAAACCCAAACTGAATATGTTAGATATACAGACACCCCGATTGATCAATTCTGAAAAGGAATTGGATAAGTACCTGAAATCGGAAAGAATCGAGGGAAGTGAGAGAAGGGTACAGGTGGGAATTCAGGAATTCTGAATTCGCATTGAAGGAAGCCTGAAAAGTGCCAACTTTTGGAGGAAGAAAGATTGTTCCTTTTCCGTGGAATGAAGCTACGGCGCCAAGCAGGCTTGGATTAGCAAATTAGCATGATCAAAGGCTTGCGTGTCAGGCTTGATTTGTTCTTTCATTTTTTTCCCTTTTTCTTTTATTTTTTCTTTTCTTTTACTGGTAAAGTGTCATAATGCTTGCGTTGACACGTTGTGAGTTCATTGATTTGTGCGGTATGAACCAAACGAGAAACATAATTATAAACCAAAAAATATATAATGCTGGGAGTATCTATATCATGGGCCAATTAAAAAGAAAATATTATTATATTGTAATACTACATAAGTTGATAAGCGTACCCAATAGGAGTCAAGCATAGCATAAGATAATTATATTTTTCACACACCAGTGAAATATAACATAATACAAAATATATTAATTGTCCTCGTCGTCGCTGCTTAAAATCTCAACGGTAACATTCTGCATATTTCGTGAGGTCATCTGTGGGACAGACAGGCCTGTAGGACGAACTTGTGCTTCATAAGTGCGTGGTTCTTCAATAATAAGGACAGAACTAGTAGACTCTTCAGTTGTTGTTTCAGCAGAAACCAAATTAACAGGGTATTGTTCTGTCCTACCTGGGTTTGCCCATGCTGGCAATACACGTCCTTGAGGTGCACGTACATAGCCGTTATTGGAGGGTAATGCGTAGCCAAGGCGACCATCAGCAACAGTAGTAAGAATGTACTGATTATCAATAGAACGAGGTATGCGCCCACCATTAACATGTTGTCTTGGACGTTGAGCTGGAGGATTCGTTGTGGAATTTGCTGTTGTAATGTTGGAAGCAATAGATGAATGTGATGCTGGAGATTCGGTTCCAATTCTAACTCCGCGACGTCGCCTGTCTGCCATTTTGAATGATGTAGAACTTGATCAAATTCAAAAGAACACAAGTGTATGAAGCAACCTTCTAATTTTCCATATGCAAATTAGTAAGGGAGTGCAGAGGTTTTATACCAGAATTTGGGCACAAATCCATAATTGTGCCAACACATTCCTTTGTTACAGAGTGATTTATTATTTATTAATATTTACTGGACACAATTTCTAACATTTGTGTCAGAAAAAGGAATTTATAATTATTAAGATATATTCTCTATTTGAAGACCCAACGACAGTAGAGTGATTTATTATTTTTTTTAATATTTAGTGGGCACAATTTCTATATTAGTGTCATAAAAAGGAATCTACAATTATTAACTCATTTGTCTACCAACACTAAGGGCACATTTGTTGGTTATGTGTCACTGCATAAAGGACTTTAATACAGTAAAAAAAAATTATTGTTGGTTCTATGTCACTGCATAAAGGTCTTTTAATACAGGAAAAAAAGACTTTTAATACAGTAAAAAAATAATTGTTGGTTATGTGTCACTGCATAAAGGTCTTTTAATACAGTAAAAAAAAAAAAGAAACACTTACTATAAAACCAAAAACCATATCACCAAGTATAAAAACCAAACCTGCAAGAAGATAACAATCCAAAAAGTAGTTCAAAAATATACGAATCTAACAAACATTCATTGCAGCTGGAAATGATCCTTTGTTAATCTAAAACACGTTACTTAGTACTACGGTGTAGTGATATTCTTCTTTACTTGTAATTAAGAGATCTGAGGTTCAGCTGTCGCCAAAAACGAATTTGAACAACATTATTGCTAACTTATTTTGAGGCTAAAATATTGTACAGTAATAAACAGCTCCACACCATTATTTACCACAATTTTATAAATTTTAATTATTGGTGTACTAGAGGAGGTAAAGACAAACGAGAGAGAACATATAGTGCCTCTGACAAATAATTTTTATAGACACAAAATGTTTTTTGTGCCCATCTTTCGTAAAAACGTTGTCATCTGACCCCATTGGGCACGGTTTCCGTGCCCATTACTGTTTTGTGTCTACTTTTTTTAACATTGGGCACAATAGATGGTGCCCTCTATGGAATGAGAACTGTTTAACCTTTTTGGTGGTCAAACTGACACAAATTTCTCAATTGTGCCCTTTGTTTTGTACCCAAAGCTCATTTTTCTTGTAGTGTTGGCACAACGTATTTCTCTTTTGAGAGCTTCTGCCGACCTTCTCTGTCGGGACTCGATCCTTGTTCTACCTAATCTCAGTCGGTCCTTGTACTACCGAATCTCATTCGGTCCTTGTTCTATCTAAGTAGGAGGGAGTAAGCATGTGGTATAAAGTTTGATTCATGTGTAGTTGAAGGTCGTCCATGTTGTATAGCTTAGCCTAAATCTCTACTGCACGTAAGTAGCTTGTACCTCGATTAGTTGAGAATATTCACTTTTATACCTGATAACCTGTGTCTGAATCTCCTTCTCCGTAGTTTATGTAGATTTATCTATCGTTTATAAAAAACAAAATTCTCACCCTATTTTAATTTCATATTACAGTAGTGATAAACTCGATCTATATAATTCTTGCTCTTTCTTATAATATGATAAATGATTATCTGGTCCCAATTAATTGTCAAGTGGAAAAGGCCTAAAACAGTTGCTAGAACCGGAAATTAGTGGATTGTGAGAGGTAGGAGAAGAAAAACAAAGTCTGGTCACACCCAAATGAAAATTATTTCAAGCTGGCCTCAAGGCGAACAAGGACGTATCTTAGGCCTCACTTGAAACTATGCCGAATATTTTTTCCATATCTTTATTCATAGTATTCTTAATAATCGTATACTCAACAAAAGAGATTGAAAACCAAAATTTGCTTATATGGTTACATTAAAAATAAATTTGCATGGAAACTCATTTAATAATTTCTACTGATAATAAATAAAATTGAATTATCTTTACTACATCGAGAGTATTTTTAAACAATTGTATAATATATCATAAGACGCTTTACCGCAATTGCGGAACACAATTATGTCAAAAAGTTACACAGCTTAATGTGTTTTTTTTCCTTCTTCTGTAGTATTCTTTGTTATTATTCTTGAATTAATCTCTTATTTCCCCCTGTTTTATAGGCATGGGTTAAAGGATCAATGGATCTGGATTCCGAAATTTGACATTGGTAATGAATTCGACCATGGAACTCTTTCCAGAAAGTTCATGAATTTCACAATTATATGACGAAGAAGAAACAAGGAAAAGCAAGTACAGAAAAATAAATGAGTTCTTGTATTATACAATGCATGTCTTATTCATGACAGGAGGCTAATTTCTCACACGCCAGAACTTAGTAATTAAACAATACTAATTCCTAGACTTGAGGTTCAAGGAATAAAAATTGACTTAAAACTTTTCGTGATATCATAAATTTTTTAGACTTAATGATAACTAATGAGTAGATTTTATATTATATTTTACCCTAATCTTAGTATATTTTGGTTAATATTTTGGAAGAATTTTGATACTTTGAATTGTATTTTCAATATAGGACTTTCGACTTCCTCTGGAGCAAAACAAGACCAAATAGACGAATTTTGGAGTAATTCCAGTTGGAGGGCGTTCGTGAGTCACTTAGCTTGATTGTATCAAAATTTGGGATTTTTCCACCAAGCGGTTATTTTGTGGCGATAAAATAAAGGAGTGATGCGGGGTGCTGGAAAATGGCGTTTCTGGGCTTAAATTGCGTTTTTGGAGCCCAAGATAACTTCGGATGGGTTCGTGGCCTT